GGTGTGATGTATCGTTAAACTTTCACTTACTCTGAAACCATCTTAAAAGACAATGAACTCAAAGAAAATTTAAGTGTTTGAACTTTAGGGTTTTTTTTTAGATTGACACATTGGATTCAGAAGGTTTGGAATGCTTACAAAGAATTATTGAAGTTAATTTAATATACTGTATATAGTTTTTAAATTCTGAAATGCATTAGTTTGATGGATCTTAAGTTTGGCTTTCACCATTGTCTTTCACTGTGATAATGAAGAAATCTCATCGTCGGTTCTCAGCACAAAAATGCTCTGGTTGCACTTTGAGACAGTTTTTAGTTTTTTTTATTTATTTTTTTGTGGCTGAGTGTCAGCTGGATGCTCTTGTGTGGGTAAATTAAGTGCCAAGTGGCGTTTCACTGTCTGAAACCCAAATGGACTGTAATGGTTCTGTCGCACTTGTTCCAAATTGCGTGATTGCCCAAACTGCGCATTTGTGGACAGGCACAAATGTGTGCACTCTCTCACACACACACACAGGAAAAACGTAAACAAACCCATTCTTGAAAGACACGTTGGACCCCTTGCAATGCCTGCACAGGTATTTTTTCTCCTCGTCTGATTTTAACCCTTCTTTTGCTTTCTTATTTGCTATTTTTTATTTTTTATTTTTGTCTCCTGATTGACAGCTCTCTTTGGCAGTTTCAAACCAATCAGCTAATTGTTCATTTGGACCTAATTAGGAACATGTTTTGCTGGTGGGATTAGCATAAATGACTGATTCGAGACAGCTCCGTGTCAATCCAGATCTGCGCAGCTCCCATTTCCTTTCTTCCCCTCGGATAAAGCATTAGTGCTACCCATAAATTTGGACAAAGGCAGCCTCATTTTGCGCGGATGATGATAAAATGATGAATTGTTGCCGATATCTTTCATTTTGAGTGGTGTCTTTGAAGGCGGCCCTGTCACTCGGAGTGACAGATATTGTTCGCCTCTCTTCGGTCGGTGAATTGAGTATTGAAGCCAGAACAGAGGCAGGAGGGAACTCTGGTGGCGCTGTCGTCATTCTGAGAGGCTATCATTAGTTAAAAGAGCAGACGCTGAAAGTCAAGACAAAGATTGGGTGGAAAAATACAAYTCTTTGAAAGGAACCAAGACTTTTGACTTGGTGGGATCTGCTTTACAACATAATGGGAAACAATAAATCTGCCACCATTAGAGTTTTGTTTAATTAGACTTGATACAGGTCTAGAAGCTTTTCTCCTTTCTGAGTGTACAGAGTGGGTTTTGGGCATTTCAAACAAAGAGAGACCAATTAGAGTTTTTTTACCAGCCAAATTTTTCAATATTGAAACACATTAACCCTTTTTTTACAGCCTAAAAGTATCATTTTTAATGGAAATGGGTAATTACGTAAGGTTCTTAATGGTTAATGGTTAGCATAACATTCAGGTCAGCTTCCTTAAGCTGATGTTTTGCCTAAAATGCACCCCATTTCTGGGAAGTACATTGGTTTTTGGTCCATCTATCAATTGATCTACTTCTTCTTATACAAAAATAAGAATGGTGAGCTTCATTAAGATGGTTGTCTAACTTGTAATGTTGTGTGTCTTGTTTGAAGTAGGCCTCTAAAGGTTTTCAGTTTGCTTCAGCCATCCCCTTTTTTATCAAGCAATCAAGACTGAGATGGTCGTTCCCCTGAATACACAAAACTAGGCAGGGTTAAGGGATGGAGCGACGAGCTAAAATGGATATGAATTAGTTCTAAACTAACAGATCTGCTTTGGGGGAAAAATACCTTTTAAATAAACATTTTTGACCAGTGTTATTTATTCAAAAATATCAATCAATCAATCACCTTTATTTAACCAGGTAGAGCCCGTTGAGATCGAGATCTCTTTTACAAGGGTGAGCTGCTCAAGTGGTCATCAGCACATTTGCATTGATCAAAACGAAATAAGGAAAGAAAAAAAAAGAAAAGAAAACTACAGTCATGATAAATAGATGTTGAAAAAATAAAAAATAAGTAGGTCCTCTGGACAGATTCTTCTTTAATGAAACGTTTTGTCTTTCCTCCAAAGACTTCTTCAGTCTGAGGAGTTTCAGGTGAACTCAGCCTTATAAGCACTGCCTCCACATGGTGGACAAACAGGTTGGTCACATGCAAAAAAGGGACCATCAGCCAAACAATAGGTCGTTAATTCCTTGATTGGCTCTGTTGTTTGTAGAGGTTTATGTGTAAAAATGGACAGTGAAGGGGCCTGTCGAACATGCAAAGGCATGGTGTTCCACAATTTAGGGGCACTAACTGAGAAGGCCCTATCTCYTCTGAGCAACTGGTCAGCAGACCTGATTCACACCTTTTGCTCACAGGGGTCTGAGTCATACTTGCAATAACAGCACTGTAGGAGGAGGATAACTGGACATGAAGGCCTCCACCCCTGTTTGTCTGGCCTGTAGATGAGTGTAAACTGTAGAGTCCTGGCCTGATGATGAGTGTAAACTGCAGAGTCCTGGCCTGATGATGAGTGTAAACTGCAGAATCCTGGCCTGTAGATGAGTGTAAACTGCAGAGTCCTGGCTTGTGGATGAGTGTAAACTGCAGAGTCCTGGCTTGTGGATGAGTGTAAACTGCAGAGTCCTGGCTTGTGGATGAGTGTAAACTGCAGAGTCCTGGCTTGTGGATGAG